GATGTGAGGGAAGTTGTTTTAACTCTAAATCTGGGGCAACATCTAAGGAARGAACAWGAATCTTCCTATCCTCAGATTCTAAAACTTCAAAAGCAGCAGATTCTTGTGGTGTTTCTAATTCCTCAAAATCATCCTCAAAATCTTCCTCTTCATCACTATCAGTCTCAGATAAACCTAAGATTTCCCCCATACTTTTCTCTTGACACCAGGTTTCTATCAGACCCAAAGCAGAACACTCTTCTCTTTCTTTCGGGTACCTAAGGGAATTAAAAACATTAAAAGTCACTTGTTGGTCTTGGACTCTCATGGTTAATTCTCCCTTCTGTACATCTATCAAGGTTCTACCAGTAGCTAGAAAACGTCTCCCTAAAATGATGGGAATGTCTTTGTCGGCTTCAAAGTCTAGGATGATAAAATCAGCTCGGAAAATAAACTTATCATCCTGAACTAGGACATCCTCAATTTTTCCTCTGGGATAGGCTATGGACTTATCAGCTAACTGTAGAGTTATAGTCGTAGGTCTAGCTTCACCTATGCCTAGGGTATTGAAGACATATAAAGGCATCAGGTTTATGCTAGCACCTAAGTCGCACAGAGCTTTTCCTATTTCTTTTCCTCCAATTGAACAAGGGATTGTAAAACTTCCAGGATCTTTCATCTTAGGAGGAATTTTACTGGACAACAAAGCATTGCAACCTTCAGTCAGAGCTACGGTCTCGTATTCAGTCAACTTTTTCTTTTTGCTCAAAATGTCTTTTAAAAACTTTGCATAACTTGGCATCTGCTCAATAGCTTCAACCAAGGGTATGTTTATGTGCAACTGTTTAAAAACATCAAGAAACTTTTTAAATTGTAATTCTTCCTTTTGATTCCTTAATCTTTAAGGATAAGGAATATAAGGAGTGACTGGAATAGGAGACGTAGTCTTTTGAAGAGTTGGTGCTGGAATCGGCTTCAAAACTGGTCTCACAAATGGTTCTGATTCCGTCCTAACAGGAATTAAAGGACTGGTCTGGTCTTTTATTGCGGGACTGTCACCATATTGTGACACATCCACTACAACACTTTCTTTGGGAGTCTGAGTTGTCTTGGGTTTATCAGGAAATAACAGTGGAAAATCTGATCTTTCTGGAATGGTCGTACTATCTATGGGCCTGACTATGGGTTGCGGCTTACTAGTACTTACAGGAATGGTAGTCATAAAATCTGGTACAGAGGTAACAGAATCTTGTTCTACACTTTTCTTTTCAATCTCTGCTTTGTTTGGTTTTTTTTGTTCTTTTTGGGTGTTTTCTAAATAACTCTTTCCACTCCTTAAAGTAACAACCTTAACATGCTCCTTTTCCTCTCTCTGAAGTATCTCTGTATCATTGGGTAGAGAACCTACGGGTCTTTTTCTAATCTCCAAAGCCATTTGTCCCATTTGAGTTTCAAGATTTTTAATTGAAGCTTCAGCTTGGGTTATAAAACCCTTCATCATTGCTTTCAAAGAAGTAGATGAATCAGCTTGCTGTTTGGGCTTGCTTTGGAAAGAAGACTGATGATTCTGAAAATTAGCATGTTGATTATTATGATT